AGTTAGCTATCAATATTTTTAGAAGATAATTTTAGAGTTAAATTTAGACGATTAAAAGAATGATGTGCCTCAATAGTATTGTACAATAAGAGAATATTTTTTGAGATTTAATGGTAAGTTTTAATAAAGATAAAGCTGCTATTGGCCTGATTAGATTGTATGGATTTGAGTGTTAGATTATAAAAAAAGTCATTGTTAAATAGCATGATTGAAAATCATATTGGAAGTATGGTAAAATTGGAAAATATAAATTATGGAATCTTTGCAATTAAGCAACAATCGATAAGGTAATAAAAATCTATTTAGGTGGTTAGGTGTATAACTTAGGCTAGAAAATGTGCAAACTAGATGAGCAGATAAAATTAATATAAGAAGAATGCGAAGAAAGGTTAAATTTAGGTTACATGAATAGAAGTTACTCAAGTTTTAACACCTTAAATTGCACTAATAGGAAGTAATAAAAAATCATAATTTATAAAGCCGACCGTAATCGGTGGGATGATACTAATTTGATGATTATTATTACTGTAAAGAACATCCTTCAGCCATTTAACTATAGCGTTGGATTTATTAAAAAAAATTGTGAACCTTATTACTACAGTCTCTCTTATCTCCCCTTAAGTCCCTTGAAACTTGCTCTATTCATTCTCCTTTCGTTTAGATTAATCTATAGTATACACGGTACTATCTTTTAGTTCATAAAGAATCTGTTTATTATAGCTCGTAGGTAACCAAAATTTAAACTTATATTTCTTTAAATCCTTATGATGTCGGAGTTTAAATAACAATATTGTGTAAAACAAATATTATTACTGAAAACAAATATGAGTTACAACCAGACGCACCGAGATGGGAAATAACAACAGGCACGATACAAGCTCAACTTTGGGCTTGATCCAGGAATGGTGGTGGCTGATTGGGTGGAAGGGAAGCGCAATAGGTGGCTGGCCGAGCAGTGTGCAGGGGCAGCAGTGGGCTGGCGGAGCAAGTACACAACATGTTTGCTACTCCTTGGTTAGTGGAACAGAATGGAAGAGGCTAGCGGCAAGACAACACTGGTTGGTGTGGCAGGGAGGGACGACAACAAGGTTGGGAAGAGGTGGAGGCTGTGATTACTAAATATAATTGAGTGGCAACAAGGATGGAGAGAGGAATGTTGCTAGGAGGCGGAGATTTGCTGAGAAGATAGCTATAGGAAGTTATCCTGGTAGTTGTAGCAGGGAATGATGATGGTGGCAGCAGACGGAAGGATGTGGGGGAAGGGTAGAAGAGGATAATCGCCATTGCAAGTGAGAGATGCAACACTCGAACCTTTGGATATAACCCTCAGAGGGAATACTTGAGATGCCGATGATTGTCCCAAGTAAAAACATGAATAACTCTCTGAACACGAAATAATATATATAGAACTAAGATAACTAAGGAGTGGATCCTAATCGCCATAAGTGTATCTACTTGGAATGACCGTTCAGTCCCTCCTCTGCCTGGACCAAACTGGTCTAGGACGGGAGACACGACAATTGCTGCGTTTATGGCACTTAAACGCCTGCATCAATCTCCTAGGATTGGGGAAGCTCCAACCTCATTCATCGAAGCTTCCATCTTCTTAAAGTATGAAGCAGATCAGACACGTTGAAGGTAGCGAGAATGTTGTAATCTTGCGATAAGTCAATCATGCAGGCAATGTTATTCCAAAGCACTTATAATAAGTATTTATCCTTTTTGGCAGAACTTTTGGAGCTGCAAATAGTCGTAGATTGTCACGAAAGTAAGTCTCAAGTCATTAAGTCTATAATTTGCCTCTTTCACTCCTCGTACTAGGCTGGGCAAATCTGATAAAAAAAATCATCAAGAGAAACTTTAGATTGAAATATGTGGCATTCTGGACAAGTCTCAATAACAAACACTCAGAAGGGGCCCCTTCTTTGGAAGGACATGCTTTTCTACAAAGCTCCTAACGCGATTTCCAATGCTATGTTTCATACTCCCTCTCTGACTATCTATCAGTGGGGATGCTGTTGAACTAAATTTAATATCCAAATGGTTTTATATAGTCTTCCAGAATTATAAAAGCAGCTTAAAAGCTTTTCTCTGATGTGTTGGACCTCTCTCAATATGGGGTAACTCAGGAGGTAAGCTATATATCCGAAAATTCTTAATTTCTCTTATCTTGGATTGTCATGTGTCTGGTGTTGGTTTCTCGAATATGTTCGAGTCTCTCTCATGGCTCAGCTTGAATGACGTGCATCTCTCTTTTATTAGTTGGAAGCCGATACTCCTTTTGGTTTTCACCTTCTTCAGTCTCTACCATGTCTTCTTCCATTTATTAGTTGTTCCCTATTCAGAAAAATAATCATACTCTTGTTTGGACAATCTGATCCACTGTGCCCAAAACTATGGCATTTGATGTACTTTTTGATTGGGATGAATTTTGAAATACTGGTTTGTTTCATTTGTTCTCCACTCTGAATTAGTTTCTTCTCAAGCGGGGTGGCTTGGATGCTCGATTGGGTGTACTCTTGTTGCTTGATCCTTAGATTGAACTGTGTAAGACGTGACAGTCATCCAATGATGTTCTCTTGGAATATGTCATGTCTATCATGAACTCGTAGATACTTGCGCCGGAACTCGTTTCATTTTGGACGGGTAGTGAATTTATTTTCCCTTCACGCTAACGTAGGTGCTTCACATTTTCCGACCATAACTCTTCTTTAACTTGATGGGAGCTAGCTTTGCAATTATGTCAGGTGGAATATCCTTGTATTCAAAGACCCGCTTCACTGGCCGGAGCCACTCAATGAATTCTTTCGGATCCCCACGATCATCATAATCCAGTAAGTCCACCTTTACTTCCCTATTCTGGCTTCTCCTTCAATATTTCATGTCAAATTTTTGGGATAGTGGTTCTTCATCATTTCAATCCGACAAATCACCATTGTGGTTACAAGTGACTCTTTTAGATTGTCTCCTCTCGAAGGCGACAAGTTTTTATTGTTGTAAAGGATTTTTTGCTGTATATTTTTCATAGAAAGTTCTTGGAAATATCTTTGTGAATTTCTCATAAGCGGCATTTTTTCCTTTCCTCTCGATTAGCTTTCCAACAATTATCTCCTTGATGGTATTGCTAGGGTTTAGGTTTAGGAGTTGAAATTAGATGTAAGGGGTTGATATAGGATGAAAAAAAAAATTTGGGGGACTGATCTGAAAATTCAGTAAAGAGACGGGTTTTTGGTTGGAGATATGGCTATAAGTATTGATGGATTTAAGCAACTCTAGGATAAAATTAGGGTTAGACCAGCTCTGATACCAAATAATATCGGAGTTTAACTAATAACGAGAAATAGAAATATTATTACTGAAAATAAATAAGTGTTGGGAACTAAGAGCAGACACGACACAAAGTCAATTGAGGTTTGGGCCAGAAATGATGGTAGCTGACTAGATGGAAGGGAAGGGCGATAAGTGGCTGACCGAGTAGTGAGCAGGGCGGTAGAGGGCTGGAACAGGGGACAACAGGTTTGCTAGTCCCTGGTTAGCAGCATTGAAAAGGAAGGGGTGATGGCAAGGCATGGCTGGTTGATATGGCTGGGATGGATGGTATTAGGGCTGGGAAGTGGTGAGGCAGGGATTGGTACGATAGATCTGGGCGGCAACAAGGGTGGAGAGAGCGTGGTTGCTGGGAGGTGGAGATATGCCGGAAGACAACTACAGGATGCTGTTCGGGCAGTTGCAACAGGGAAAGATGACAACAACAATAGAATGAAGGATGCTGGGGAAGGGTAGAAGTCATCATCTCGGGAGTGAGATACAACTAGAAAACCTGACACGCCGGCAGCAGTCCCGAGCAGAAACAAAAAAAAAAAAACTCCCTAAAATGTGTGAAAATAACATATAGAGACCCAGAATGACTAAGGGTGGACCCCACTATCATAGGCGCCAAATCCCTGCTTGGAAGGATCGGTCGAGCTCTCCTCTACCTGGACAGAACTGATCCAGGATGGGATCGCGGCAATTGTCGTGGCTACAGTGGCTGGACGCTGTCATCACTTCATTCATTCTCAAGATCTCATTTTTATCCTTTTGCAGTACTAAATTTATAATATGAAAATAAATATATGTACGTGGGGTTGTCTACCAGTTGTGCTAGTAATATTTAGAACGGGTTGGTCTTATCACATTAAGCGGGGTATGGGTGGGGAGGATTCGGGTCTGGAGACAAAATTATCATTGTAAGTATAGATGAATTCTTAGTTATTTCCCTTGTCCTCGAAGTAACGTCGCCACATGTCGATGCAAAATTGGTTCATGCATTAGCAGAAACTGTTTGATTTTTGAAGTATAGGGAGGTAAGTCTCTCCTTGTTTGCAGTTTTGAGTCCTGAGTACACAATCCCTGAGCTGTATGCCCAAAAGTTATTATTTTAAAGATTTACATACATACGACTCAATTCCTATATATTTACATATCTAACACCTAAACTTCAATTTTTACATACATGCCACCTTATTTATGTATGCAAAGGTTTATTTCACTTTTAAAAGTTAAAATAATGATATTTTTTATGTGAGTTAAAAAATACAGTTTAGGTGTTAGAAATGTAAATACATAGGAATTGTATCTTATGTATGTAAATGTCCCTGTTAATTTAAGTTAACTTTGAAACAAACATTTACTATGTATCTTATTTGATTGCCAATGCCTCTCTTTCCTGTATAATTAAAAATCTCATTTAATTCTTATGTATTTACATGTCTGACACCTAAACTTCAATTTACACACACACACCCCCAACTTACCCATGCATGAGATGGTGCATTTTACTTTTTAAAAGTAAAAATAGGGGTATTTTTTATGTGATCATAAAGATTTGGGTGGTAGAAATATAAAAACTAAAGTTTAGCTGTTAGATATGTAACTACATAAGAATTGGGTGGTGTGTATGTAAATACCCCCTTTTCTTTCAAATTATTTCTCCTTCTATAAAAATCTGAGAAATTTAGATTATTGCAGGGATTCCATTTTCAATAATACTTTGGGAGGCATATACTACTAAATATGACATGGTTCCTCTTCAGAAACTTTCTGGAATGCAAAGGCAGGTCTTGGCTCTATACCGTCACTTTCTACGGGCGGCCCGATCAAAGAATCTCGACGAGCGAAAAATGATTATCTCTGTTGTCTCCACGGAGTTCCGCCATAGTGCCGATCATGTTGATCGAAAAAACTTCCAACACATCGAATATCTCTTGCGGCGCGGGAGGAAGCAGCTCGAGCAGCTAAAGAGCTCCACCACCATTTCTCTGTCGACAATCAATGTCAGTAAGAGAAATCTTATATCCTTCCTTCTCTTCTTGTTTTTCATTGGATTTTTAGAAATTTACCAGTTAAATAAACGTTTTTCTTGATGCTTTACCCTTAACTTTATTCATTGAGATGTAGATTTTTTTTGGGATACATTTACATGCATAAAACACAATTTATACCTGGGGAAATTTACATACAACACAATTTTTATGGATTTGCATATCTAACACCTGAAATATGATATTTATATTTATAATAACTTGGTGCCATAAATCTATGCATAAAAAGATGCATTTTACTTTCAATAGAAATTAAAAGAAATATTTTTGATGTGATGTTAAGAATTTGAGTGTTATGAATGTAATAAATATTAAAGTTTAGGTGTTAGATATGTAAATACATAAGAATTGTGTAGTAGTGGTATGTATGTAAATGCCCATCACATATATTTTACGTATATAGCACCTAAACATTCATATTTACATGCGCATAACTCAAATCTTTGACCTCACATCAAAAATATCACAATCGCTACCTTTTTAAAGTGAAATACGCCTTTGCATGTATAGGCTTATATTAAACCTAAGTGTTATATATGTTAATATCAAACATTCGGTTTGGATATGTAAATAAAGTGTTATATATGTAAATATCAAACTTTCGGTTTGGATGTGTAAATATATAAGAATTGTGGTATGAAATATTGGTTTTGAAACTTGCTAATCTGATTTCCAAATACGCAGCTGAATTCTTCCACTTCCAAGACGGTCCATGAAGACAAGAAGCTTGCTTAAGGTAGCCACATAATTGTGCTCAATATAGTTTTTTATTTGTTGTGGTCTTTAATAATCGTGCTGCTGATATCTATGGAGGTTTGGATTTGATGTTATCTGTTTCTTCAATCTGTTATTTTATTGATTTCTGCAATTTGTTTTGTTGAGTAGCAGTGGAACAGAAGCAATTTTTCAATTCCCAACAGCTGATATTGCAGCTATTTATTATTAGGGACATTTACATACATACCACACAATTCTTATGTATTTACATATTTAACATCCAAAATTTAATATTTACATGCATAACACTTTAATCTTAAATATCAAATTCAAAATACCACTCACCTGCATTTAAAATATTAATACACATTTTTAAGTGTAGGTTTATGACGCGAAAATGTTATGCCTGTAAATATGGAAGTTTAGGTGTTAAATATGTAAATAAGAATTGTGTGATGGTATGTTGATTTACCTTATTGTTAATACGTTTTGAGCTGTCAAAGAGGTTTTGTGTCTCCTCCACTCTATCCCAAGAATGGCAAATGCCTTGGTAGGGAATGTATAAGTGATTTCTTTTTTATATATTTAGCATATTTCGACTAATAAGTGTTTTTTGGTTGGTTGTGTAATAAATTATGGAGATCATTTTTCATGTTTGGTCGTTGCACGTATTTAGAATCTGTCATTTTTTGTGATATTTTAATTTAAATTATGGAGGTAAATTATGCATATTACTTTTCATTTATTGAAAATTTAAATCGTTTGCATTTGGTTTGCTCTACTCATGCACGACACGCAGAGAGATGTTAAACCAATATTTGGTCTAGTGGGCACCACTATCGATTCCTACAATGAGTTGAAAACCCAAATGCGCTTGTATTTGATTCGAAAAGGCCGCGTCACGGGATTCGAACCCCTGACTCGACGCATCAATGAGCATGGTCATTCGCGCATATACATATATATATATATATATATATATATATTGTATTTTTTGGTCTTCGAAAGATTTGCGTCCTATAACTGTAAAAAGCAATGCTTAGATTTTAGTCATGCACGTAAATAGAAATTGGGTGGTATTTGTGTGAATGCCTCTAATGTTTTGGTAAATTTTGGAGAAAACTAGTGATTTTATGTGAAAACTCATTAATGGGGAATGTAAATTGAAATATCTGAAGGTTTATCTGAGATAATCTATTCTTACAGCAAGAATACTTTCGAAATTTTAAAACAATTAAATTTCTTTGTTAAGAAATTTCTTTTTCTCGTGAGTTGTTTTCTGCTGAAAAATTATCTATTTTAAAAAGCAGCCTGTTCAGAGAATATTACATCAGGACGCCAAACGTAGAACTACATTCGGATTAGAATATCCGGCTGTGTTGCGAGAATGTTCCATCTGCTTTATTAGTAAAAATGATGTGTTATTCAAGTATTATATGGTGTTATTTGATTATTTTACGGTGTTATTAGAATATTTTCATGCGTTACTTGATTTGAGGTTATGTTATTCGACATATTTTCCGTGTTATTTCAATTCTCACTATGTTATTGGAATAACACAACCTCAAATCAAGCCAAATCAAGTAATGCGGGAGAATATTTCAATAACACTTCTGTCCCAAATCAAGTAACGCGATGAAATATTTCAATAACATCGCAAAATAATCAAATAACATCATATAATACTCAAATAACACATTATTTTTATAAATAACACATTTTTTATAAATAATGCAGATGGTATATTCCTGTAAGGTAGCTTTACATTAGGAGTCCTGCTGTAATATTTTCCCTAAATGACTGCCTACACTTT